TACAAATGATGATCATACTATTGCTATCATGTACAAACTTTTTTTTGAAAATGGAAACAAGAGAATGTACAAGTTAAAGACTATATGATAAACGATGTAAACAGTTTTGGATTATGTGTTAATTATGATTATTTCGATTATTGTGATGATTACAATTATTTATTATATTTTTATGCTGCCCATCTGGATCAGTTGGAGGGTATGTGGAACAAGAGATTGAAATATGCACTTAATTACAGCCTTAAAGAGAATTTTTATTACAATGACATATCATTGGCACATGACCCCGTACAAATTGTAAAAAACGTAGAAGGGAATTTCAAATATTTCTTGGAAATGTAATTGCTAATGTGCACTTGAAATAAGACTTACTTTGGAAGAAAGATGGTTATAAATGTCTTTGGCTTTTGTAGCAAAAATTGTATTTTAACTAAAACATAATTTACCAGATTAGACTCACTCTGTTATGACTATATAAATCAATGAGGTTATTTCTCTAGGACAGCGATGGCTAACCTTTTGCCATCGTATGCCAAAAGCGGAGGGAGCGCAGGGGGTTGTGCACGGGCATGCTCCTACCTATAATTCTATGCATGCAAGTGCATCTGACCCTGCCCACCTCCCACTTTTGGCGTTCAATAGACCCGTTTTTTACCCTCCCCAGGCTCCAGAGGCTTTGTAGGAGTCTGGGGAGGGTGAAAACAGTCTCTCCCCACCCCAGAGGCCCTCTGGAGGTTTCAGGAGGCTTCCTTGAAGCCTCTGGAGGGCAAAAGAACAACCCAATGTGCTGGTTTGAGTGTTGGGTTGTTTTTCATCCTCAGGGGGCTTCCAGACAGAGAAAAATGGCCCTAAGGGCTGATACCAAGTAAGGTCTTTGTAGCTATTGGGAGGCTATAGCCTAATGTTTGAAGTGCCCATATCTGAAAGATGACATTTGTCTGCCTAGGAATAATTGTCATTGGATTCAGTGTTGTTATTTTCTGGTGGGTTTAGAATGTTAGACTTACATTTAGAGAAAATATGCCCAACTTTTTTTACATAAAGTCACAGATCTTTTTGAAGTAAAATTTTACCACAGAATATAATCAATATATGCTTACAGAAACCCTTTTATGCAATTTCCATTAAACCAGCAATATATTTTAAAGGGTATAATTAGCCAAAGGCAGCATATTGATTTACAAAGGTAGCAGCTGATGAGTTGGTTATTTATTCTACAAAGGCAAATAATGGCAGAATATATTTAGCAACTCAAAATGAAAATAATAATGAAGTTCAAATATCTAGTTATGAAATGATTTTCTAATTTATGCTGGGTTGGCAGCTAGGGAGTATTTATTTTAAACCATAATAATTAATGAAGAACACAACGGGGCTTCCAGAGGTTAACAATTCACACTTCCAGCCACATGGTGGTGCCTTGATCATAATAAACACTGTAAAACATTTTCACCAATTTTTAAAGGAGTTATGACATTTTAATTACCGATAGATAGATAGATAGATAGATAGATAGATAGATAGATAGATA